AAACTCATTGTTTTTAAATTCTGGAATAAAAGCGCGTTTTAACGCTCAACAACGGGAGTTTTCGCCGTTTTCATGGTCTGAAAGTGAAAATTTTGCGCAAAAAACGCGTTTCTTGCGTTTTTTTAATGAGCGTTACTGACTCACAATCGCGGTTCCCTTTTGAGCGTTTAAACGCGTTTTTCGAAATGTTTGTCTGCTTGGGAACTACCAAACTGTGGATGTTATCTGTTGACTCTCTCTCGTTCTCTTTTTATGTGTGTGCTCTCAGTGAATGATGGGAAAAAAAGCATACACTTTCATGGTTCAATTGAGATATTCGAATTAAAGATGATAGTTTTTATTCTTTTTGAATTCTAGAAAGGAAAAGAAAGAGAACATCTTACATCATCAATGACATATATCACCGATCTGGATGTAAAAAATAAAGTACAATATTTGATTCATTAAATAATTCATTTATCAACATTGTTTATTATCCAATGAATAATTCCACGACATTACCAACAGTGTTAACTGGTAGTACACTAGAAACAGTTGTTTGGTGTTTTTTTATGCCCACTATTCATGCATTTAGTCTACTTAGTAATGTATTATGTATTATTGTTTTCTTTTCAAAAACATTTATTCATAAACCGATTGCCATTTACTTTATCGTTCTTCTTATATCCGATTCTTTTACATTAGTGATTGGTTACTTTGAAATGTTAGAAAGAGAAAAACAAATGTTAAATGGAAAATTATGTATTCTAAATCGATCTGTAATTAAAATTGTCTCGGATTATATGTTCAATATGGCCAGACGTATATGTGTTGAATGGTTACTCTATAAAGTACTATGGGCACGTGTATCTACAATTTTATTAGCCGTATTATCCATGCAACGATCGCGGACATTTTTTTCATTATCTTATCGTGAAACACGTTTATGTGCTGTATTTGCTGTATTTTTATCAGTCTTGGTGGCATTTGTTATTACCTGTTTTGAATGGATGAATTTTTTTTGTTCAAAACCTGAAAATTCATTGTTTTATGCTCAATTATTTGGAGCAATTATTGAAAATCCATTAACAAGACAAGAATTGTTAAAAACATTTGAATTGCCTTTAAATGGTGAATATCAATGTTTAGAATCAGCAATTAGTTATTTTGAAAATGATACAATAGTTTCTCAGCGATTATTTGATGTACAGGTAAGAAAACGAATTTTTTTATAGTTGAAAAGAAAGTACGGTCGAATCTCTTCCTCTGTTGATTGATAAAGTAACTACCCTAGTAGCATTCCCGCTTCATTTTGCGGCAAGAATACAGATTCATCTTACCGCGATTTTGACAATAAATGTGAAACTTAATGCGAGATCACTGCCGCGATCGTACCTATTCTTGCTATTTTTCCCGTGTAACGAAAATTGGACAATCTTAACACAAAAATATTTTGACGGGATCACACTGAAATCCTGCTAAGATCGTGGCAAGATTGAAACAAGATCGCACTGCAAGTGAAAACGTTTTGGCGGGCTCCGAACAAGATAGTACCAAGATCCCGGTGAGATTAGAACAAGGGTGCAGGAAGGCTGAGCAAGTTTCCCTGCCACTTATCTGATTATCACTACCTTCTTTTGATAGTTTAATCTTTTTCATCAGATTTCATCACGTTTTACTTGGTACTTTCTTCGAGAACATGAAGTAATCACAGATTTTCTCCTGGGATACCTGCTTCAGAGTACACAGCAGTTTATTTTCTTTATTTTGAGGTTTGAACTTCATTTCATTTCGATGTCTCAAAGTTGAACTATTATTAATTTGCTCATCGAAAGTGTGATATTGTTTTTGCTGGTAAAAAGTTTCACAGGTGTATTTCCTTAGGTTCTTTATTGGCACTGCGTTAAAAAGTGAAGAAATGACTAATTGACTTGTGTTGTGTATCTATTATATACGTTACTTCCCGAACTCCGCACACTTTTAATAAAAAGTGACTATATCTATATCCCAAACTTCGCACATAATTACATAAATTCGAAATGTACGTGATCTCAATCTCCGCACACTTTTTAATTAGCAAGTAAAATATGGACTGTAAGAAATAGAAAAATATATCATTATATCATATATTCTTAATTTGATTGTAATATTTCGTCCGTATAGCGAAAAGGTACTGCTACGTTTAATTATTTGAATATAATTTAAATGTTGTGTAAATAATATAAATGATGACTGATACGACAAATGATTAAAAATCAAGAAATTCTGGGAAA